CCTGGCTCTTGCATTAAATAGTTTACTCTCTGGCTCTGAACAAAAGCAATCTGGGCCCCAGGGAAGGGCGCACATCCAGAGCAACCATTCCTCCAGATAGTAAAATTAAACAGCAGAGATAACTGTGAGACGCTCAGGCCCCACAGAAATGACACCTCTCTGGTGAGGCCCCTCCCAGTCAGCCCTCTCCCCAGCACTGAAAGGGGACCTGGAAGCTTGGAGGACTGAGGCAGCCTTTCCCTCTTGGGACATGGACTCTCCCCAGACCAGCCCCCTTCTCTAAGAACACACCCCGAATTAGCGTTCACTTTCACCCAGGGTGAAGGGGGTAGTCTGGGGTTGGGGTTGCAGAGCCCAGACTCCCCATCAGGAGTTGGCCGGCCCCTGCGCCTTCTGAGGGAAGCCCCGTTCCTTCATCACAAAGACTCTTTAAGGCCTGACCAAGGGGAGGTCAACCCACAGGCTGCTGGTGACTCATGTCAGGCAGGAAAAATAGGAGCTGGGCCAAGACTTCCGGGGCTGTGCCCTTAGAGACAGTGAACAGTACAGTAGGGAGCCAGCAAGCAGGGCAGGGGTACAGAGGTCACCAGGTAGCATCAGGGCCAGCGTGGGGCACAGGCTGTGTGGAGATGGAGGTGGGGTGCGGGGATAGAGAGATCCAGGTCGTCGAGGCACTGGGCTTGGCTGGGAATCCCGCCACACAGAGGAAGTGGGGAACGGACCTAGAAAACCACAATTCCACGGGGAGGGTGATATTTGAATAACCTCCTAGCTCCCCCTCACATCCCAATCACGTTTCACCGCCTCTATCCCAAGGGCCTTCCTCCAGTGCCAACTGGTTTCCGCTGCAGCTTTGGGGAGCAAGGAGGTCTTAGTGGAATCACGAAATAGAAATTAGCAAATTCTTGACCTTAAAATGCTGCTCTGGGAAGGAGAGAGAATTGGATGCAGGCTCACAGAGAATTTCCAAAATTTCCTGACTGGATGAAAAACTTCCTGGGCTGGAGGAGGAGGGACATGTGCACAGGAGCTGGAGATTTGGAGGGGGGACCACCAACCTTGGGATCCAGCCCTGGACATCGCTGCACAGGGATGCCACAGGGACCAACGGCAACAGTCCTCGCTGCCGTTCCTGGAGACCTTCCACACGTGGGAGCTGGGCTAGGAGGCAGCAAAGCATCCTGCCTCAACTTCCCAAATGCCCCACCCTGTGCGGAGCCCACCCCTTTTTAGTGCATGCAAGCCCCGAGAGTGGACACTGAACACCGAGTGCAGTGACAATGGAGATGTAGCCAAGGGAATCCTCACTGCAGGACAGAGCAGGCCTGAGGCAGGAAAGGCCCACTCCAGGGGCCCACGTGCAATGGGGAAGTTCGTGCGTGGCTGCAAACACTAAGGTTCATCAGGTTTTGGGGTATGACTAGAAAGGACTGGGCTCTCTGGTTAAGATTAAAATGATGGCTACTGAATCTCATGAGAGAACAGCCCATGGCCCTCTCTCTGGGGCAGCCTAGGGTGACAGAAAACACATCTGGGACCCTCCCCTCACTGGAGGGGGCAGACAAAGCTCTTCAGGGGCCTAGAGACGGCTGGGTGATATTTAGTACTCATATTCCCTTCTCAGTGTCCCTCCCCAGGTCTAGGGTCTTCCTCAGGGACCCCTGCCCAAAGGGCCCTGGGCCTTTCTCTGTGACCTGCCAAGGTCTTTCTCACCTGGCTGGAGGGGTGACCCCTCTGGTCCCCCTCTGGATATAGCTGATCCTATTTCCTGGGCAAGGAGGGATGGCGAGATCTGGAATCTGCTTCCCACTGCTTCTAACTCAGCAACTGAGACGCCTCATGGTGCCTCCCAGGTGAGGTCCACCCTCCCCCAAGCCTCTCCACCCCGCTCCACGTCCTTAGTTTCTGCTCACCCCAGACGCCATGGACCCTCCAGTCTCTGTATCTTCTTCCATCGCAGGCTTCCTGCTCCTGCCTGGAACTCCTTTCCTCCCTTCACTGGAAAACACCTACCCACCTTTCAAGTCCAATGCAACTGCACCTCGCAACACTGGACTTGCCCGCCCTGCACTCCGGCATCACGCGGCACAGGCCATGGCCAGCACCTGGCACGGGGCTGGAGCTGCCCAAGAGGGGGCCTCCCCATGTCCAGTGGGTTCCTGCAGGGTGAGGCTGTATCGCTGCCTTCTAGAAGGGGCCAGCCCAGCGCTCCCCTACTGCAGGGCTCAGAAGGCTCTCTAGATGGCTGCGTGAGGAAATCTGCACTTAGCTCCTGCAGCTCTGACTCATGCATCCATCTGTTTCCTGTTGGCCACCAAAATGCCACAGGTTAGTCCTGGCAGTGTTTCTTCTTATATCCAATTATGTTCACGTGGCAACTCCTGAGCATGCTAAATGCGTGGGGCACCATGGTAGGTAAAGGGGAAAAAGAGAATCACCTGTCCCTGCACTAAACTGTGCAGCATTTGTTGTGCACTGCACCAGACACTGTACAAAGGGGCTTCTCTTGGGAGGGTCCCACCCCTCTGGGGGGAACTTAATATTCCGATAGTGCAAGATCTGATCCTTGACCTTGGGAGGGCACCAGCAGGCCCACCCATGCTAACATGTGCCCCTGCCATACAGAAGAGGTGCCCTCCTCCTCTCTGAGCCTGTGGTTGTCTACCCTGTGTCATGGGCATGTATGTGGATGTGCTGGGCGGCGAGTTCAAGCTTCTCCACTTGGGTTCCTCCCTCTAAGAGCTGGCTCCAGGGAGGAAGACTACACTGGCCTTGGCAGGAGGCACAGCCATCTGGGTAGAGGATTCTGAAGTTCCATGTGCTTGGGGCATGGTCTGGTAGGGGTGGGTGCTGACCTTGGTCCCCAGACCCCTTGCCCTGTGGTTTCTTCAATGCAGGGCCCTGGGCGGAGCCTAACTGTGGAATTAGATGCCAGTGATGACACCGTGCTGAGCTGCAGGCTTCTGCCCATCTCTTGGGAAGTGTCTAAGGGAGCATTGTCCGTTTTTGCTCACTTCGCCTTCATGTCGCCCTGGGAATGCATGGTCACAGACAGCAGGGGCTGCAGGTGTCTGACTCAAGAAAAGCAAAGCCACGCACCTCCCCTGCCTTCGGCTGGCATCAGAGGATGTGTCTGCAGAGGGAGGAGAAAGGGCCCTGCCAGCTGCAGGCGACAACACAGCCCTGGGAGGAAGGAAGCTCGCACTGTTTGTGCCGAGAGCAGAAACCTCATCTCTCAGATGTCGGCACATCAGGGTGCTAACAGCTCCCCGGGAACCCTGGATCCAGCTCAGCGCCTGGGTCTCCTCAGCCTTTCGACAGGGAGCCTCCCCGGTGCCGAGGGCGGCAGCTGGCATCCGTATTAATTGCTCTGTGCACGGCTCCCCTGAAGGGCAGGGAGGACCGCAAAGGGCTGGCTTTATCTATCATCTGGTATTTTTAGAGACTGTCTTTGCTTAAAAGGGACTTCTGGTGCCTTTTTCTTTTTTCCAGGGAGGTGGTTCTGGGGGTTGAAGAAAGGTAAGACTTGAAGAGTTGGCTGCTTTCACCATGAGGGGCGTCAGGCATAGGGCGGCTTATGGGCCCAGAGAGGTTAAATATCTTGTCAGAAGCCACACAGAGCGAGGACAACAGAACTGGGCTCCAAGCCTGTGACTGGTCGGACTCCAGAGTCCAGGGGGTGCCTGCTGCCTTCTCCAGGGGTGGACTGAAACGTAAGGTCTCTGTCCCCTCTCCTTGAGTCACAGTGGGCTTGTGACCACAATAGAGTCTGGTGGAAAAGATGCCTGGAACTTAGGGGCCTGGGCATTAAAGGTAACCCTCCCTCTCTGAGCCCTGGGCTTCCACATGGAGCCACTCGGAGCCACTCGGCAGTGGCCACATGGGGTGCTCTGCTCAACCGTCCCAGCCTAGCCAGTACTCTGGCCACCTCAGCCCGGACACCAGATAGGAGCATGGAAAGCCCTTTTGGAGGGGGTCCTGCAGCACCAGTGGCTCCAACCCCAGGCGTCCATGTCACCACCAGTCATCCAAAGCTACCCACCTGGCCCGGGTCCCATGGTTCAGCTTTCCCTCTGGGCCCCTTCTGAACTACTGACCCCAGAACCCACAAGGAACACTGAATTTGTCACTGAATTTGGAGACTTTTTTCACAGCAATAAATAACCAGCATGGAATTAAGAGCATCCTGGGGGAGAGTGGATGCCCTGGAGATGAGAGAGCACAGTGACGTACGGAGTTCAGACTCTGGCCTGGGTCTTTCTGATTCTGCCGCCACTCTTTAGATACATCTTCACACACATACCCTCCCCACACTCTCCGAATGGGGGTCGAGGAAAAGCAAAGGCCTTCAGTCCACTGGGTTTGCAGAGGCAGTCCAAGGGCAGTGGGGGATATTCAGAGCCAGGACAAACTTTTATTGATCACCTACTATATGCCAGACACCGCGTCAGTTGCCATTACACTCAATCCACGAATTTTACAAATACTTTGTTCCTGCCACATGCCAGGAACAGGTCGGGAAGTTAAACCACGTACAAAACTAAGTCCTAGTTCTGCTGGGGCTTACGTGTGAGTGAGGCTCACAATAAGCAGATCATTATATAATAATATGTGGTCAGTGGCACGGACGAAAATGAAGTCACGTAAGGAAAACAAAGTGGCATCTTAGAAAGGCCGGTGAGAAAAGGGTTCCCCAAGAGGGTGACACTTGAGCAGAGAGAGAGGAAAGTTAAATAGCCGAGAGCAAGTCTGTTTGACCTTGGAGCCCACACGTTGGGCACTGTTATCAAGGACAGAATACATACAGATGCCCGCCAGCTTATGAACCTGTAGCCTCTTAAAGAGGGTACACTGAGAGATCACCCCACAAGGCTCAGAGGACCCCCCACCAGGTGTGTGAACAGGAGGGAGGGGAGACGCCTGTGCGGGCACCACACTGCCCACCCACCAGCCCGGCGTCCCCTCCGATCCTCCAGCAGAGCCACGAGAAGGGTACTTACACAGAGCACATGGAGAACCACTGCCCCCTGTCTTCGGTCCTCGTTGGTGAAGATGTCACTGGGGAACTCATGCAGGGCTAAAGAAGAGAGAGAAAAAACCAGCTCAGTACCGATGACAGCATTTTCTGTGCTGGGGTCTGGGGCAGTGTTGCCGGGCCTCATTTTCATATGGGGTCCATGAACTTGCATGAGAAAAAATGACATCGTTATAGTCACAAATCTCTAACTGGAAATAGTGTTTCCTTCAGATTGAAGGTAGGTAACAAACTACAGTTGTGTTAAAATCACCTGGGCCTCTGCCCCTAGTATTTTCATGATCTATTATACGTATTACTATATTCAGGGTGGTCTTTTTTTAACAATATGTTTTTATTGATTTCAGAGAGAAGAAGGGAGAGGGAGAGAGAGAAAAACATCAACGATGAGAGAGAGTCATTGATCGGCTGCCTCCTGCACACTCCCTACGGGGGATGGAGCCCACAACCCGGGCATGTGCCCTGACCGGGAATCCATCCATAATCTCCATGGTTCATAGGTCAATGCTCAACCACTGAGCCACGCAGGCCAGGCGAGGGTGGTCTTTAGACTGCCACTTAAAGTGTTAGTGAGAAAATACGTGAACTACTATCCAGCCCTGTATTGGCCAAGTCAAGTGAGTTCCTGGAACCAGAGAAGGCCCCAGACAGGGTCACAGGTGCCTCAGGAAACCATCCACGTGTCTGATGCGGCCAGGTCCAGCGTCTGCTGCAGCCTGGGTCCCCCACCCCCGTGACTTCCCAAGCCTCCCTTGTGTAGCAACTGGCAGAAAGGAGGTTCAGGGTGCCTTCATGAGGAGGAACAAGAGACCATAACTTGCTCGTGCATCACAGGCAGCACCACAGGCAGTGGGCATGGGGTGGAGGTGGCAGAAGGGAGGCCCTGTGCGCAGGCTTGAAGGTCCAGATAAACTGCTGCTGGAACCTGCACTCTGAACCTAGGAAGGCAGGGCCAGAATGTTCACATTTAAACCCCAGTTAGCTAAACTGTAACGTGTTGTTATATTAAGCACTGATTCTACCACCTTTGTGGCTTCTTTGGCTCATTTGCAAAGGACATAACTGTATGATTCGGGCAACAGAGAATGTGACAGCCCTCACTGGAGACCCACTGGGCAACAATTCCTTTGGGGGAGGCCCCTATTGCTTATTACTGACCTCATCAGCCCCTACACAGGCACTATCCACACAGCCCATCCATGCACACATCACTGTTTCATGAAGTGCTGCTTGGCTGTGGTTCTAAAGCAGCTGGTATGATTGTATTTAATCTTCCTAAGGAAGGGGTCGGCCTGGGGTCATGGAAAGGCTCCTCACTGTGGCATCTGGAAATGTGAGGGTCGATGCCAGTACTCCCATAGCATGGCCTTTGGTGGCATGCATTTTCATCTCTCAGAGCCTCAGTTTGCCTACTGGCCACCTGAAAAATGGCCTGACGTTCCTCCTTATTGCTCCCAGGAACAGAGAGAACAGTCAGTGCACACAGTAGACACCCAGTAAGTGTCAGCAGGACGAAATAGTGAAGGGAGCAGAGCCTGGGCACTGACCCAGGATGGAGTAGGTCAGCCTTGCCCAGGTTGCCCAACAGTTCCAGAAAAGAGCTGCCAGTAGCAGCCTTGCTCCCCAAGGCTGAGCAAACTCCCCAGGTGCCCGGCTCAGACTCCGGTGCCGCCAACACGTCTGGGAAGATGGTGTCTTCAGAATACCCACAGCCGAGCGAGACAAAGAATGTGTGGAGGAGACAGGGTGGCTCGCCGGGCTGGGAGGCTCTGCCCAGCACTTTCTGGCCTCAGTTTCCTCATCTTTAAAACAATGTGGGGCTCTAGTGCCTCCCACAGGCTGATGGGTGCCGATGCCACCCCAGCTGCCCTCCACTCGGGCATGCTTCCTCATACCCAAGTCCAGACAAACCAGGGGCATTTCTCAGTCAAGGTGTGAGCTAGGAGGCTCGCCCATCTTTAGGAAGCTGAGATGTCCCTTGGGTTGTTGACTAGATTTTGCATAAGGCCCCAAGTGGGGAATCAGGCCAAGGGCCAGATCCCACCCACACCTCTCAGTTATTCTTGCCCCCCTCAGACCCACTTCCTTCACGATAGGATGGGTGTGTGGATGCCACCCTTGCCGGGGAGAGCGCAGACAGTGGATGTGAAACACCTCCAGCCATGCCTCCTGGTTACATGTCACCATTCGTCATAATTATAACAATAACGGGACGCTGCTCTGGCATGGGGCCAAGGACACATTCCTTTCCGGTCTTGGGGTTGAAATCACCTGTCACCGATTCCTGACTGCCTTGCCCTGGCATCTGTTCTCCAGGATGGTGTTCAGTCCAAGGCAGCTGCGTGATGTGTGTCCCTCTAGGTGCTTCCCGTGATCAGGCTGCTGGGACCACACAGCCCATGTGGCATGCTGGGGCCAGCTATACATCTGGGGACAGCTACACATCTGGCTGAGGGTTCCCCTGAACACCTTCAAAACCCTCCGAGTCTCCTTCTGCGGCTCTCTCTCCCCCCCTCAGTTTCCTTTCAGTGTATCTCACCTGCCCTGGGGGGGCCGGCAAGGCAAGCAGTGCTGTTCCCATAGAAACCGCTGAGCCTGAACCCCGCGGATCCCCTTTCCAAGGCAACAGCAATCAGCGGCCCGCTCCTCTCTCCTGGCTGCTTTCCTGAGCCCCAGGTTTGATGAGTCTAAATGCAGGTTTGCTGAAGGTGAAGAGTGCTTTCTGCTTTGCTTGGAAAAAAAAACCTGCAGCAGGGACATTCGTGGCGTCTTTAGACACACTAATTGCATATTGATCAAATGAAACAGCCAAGGCGAAGATCAACCCGTCCCAGCGTCCAGCTCCCTCAGCGTGTCTGAGCAGGAGTGGGAACCACAGCAATCGCGAGCGTCATCTCAGCCCAGGGGACTTGCATAGCAAAATATCTAGTGAGCTTCATGGACTGGCCCCTCGGGAATTGCCCCCGAGAACCTGGAGTCCTGACACTGCCCGGCTGGTTCCCTGCATCGATGGGTGACTTCCCAGCTCTGCCTCAGACACTTCCATCTGCCCTGGTGCTGCCCCAGAGAGCCCACTGCTCCCTCTGCCCCTGCAGGAACTCTGGGAAAGCCTTGCAGCCTCCCACCGAGCTCTCCAGGCTCCTTTTCTGGCCCTCTCGTACTGTGCGAGGACTCAGCGGATGACATTGCAACCCAGCTGCAGTCACTGGTCGCCTGCTGTAGCTCTGACTCAGCTGGACTGAGAGTTCCCTGAGGGCAGGAACTCTGCCACTGTTCCCTCTGTGGCAGGTGACTGCTGGGCCAGGGTCCATGAGAGAATTAGCAATGCCAAGTGAATACAAGTGTGAGTGAACTTAGAGGGTCTTTCTCCCAGGAGATGGTTTTTTGCATAAACACAGAATTATTGGATGAAGCATGGCACTGGGAGGGACACTCCTGTAAACTCTCCAACAACCGGATTCCAACTCGGGTGGCCATTCGGGCAGTTCACAAACACCCCTCCTCCTTGATCCAGAGACCTGGAAGGAGTATGCTTGTGGGTCCCCTTCCAGGCTGCGCGGGGCCAGGCAACTTGCTCTGATTAATAGAAAGTGAACAGAACGCCACGTCGTATTTCTGGGCAGGCTTTACAAGGCAGTGTCCGATTCATCGCCTTGCATTTTCTCGTCTAAACGTCCATGGAAACATACGTTGCGATGAATCTTCCATCGGCCTAGATCCCTGAGTGACTGATATTGGAATTCCAGCCCCCTGATACATGTAGCATAAGTAAAAAGGAACATTTCTGTTCTTCTTAGCCACTGTGATTTGGGGGCTATTTGTTACCTGGCACATTCAAGCCCACCCTGAGTGATGCAGTAAGTAATGTGGTCCTCGGCACTGCAGCAGCAATTTTGGTTTCTCCTGTATTCTCCACTAGATCGGTGGTTAGGGTTGGAGAAATGTACTCCCCTCTGTATCCTCAGTGCCTAGTTAAGTGCCCAGCATGGAAGAGTCACTTAATGAGTGTTTGTTGATCAGATGTACACATCTGCCATAACTGAAGGTCCTAAACAAAATTATCCACAAAAGAATCTGTGTGAAAATGGAGATAGTCACAACTTCATTTTCTAAATATTTAGTCTCTGGAAAAGTTTCAGAGACCTTTCAGTGCCCTCCTCTTAATCTCAGTGAGATTCAGCAAGCCATAGGAATGCAAGAGGGAGACTGTCTGGCAATGGGAGGGTGTAGGGTGTCCTTGGGGACTGCAGCATGCTGGGGGGTTATCTCATTTTAAGGGCTATGTCTTAACACAGGAAAACTTACTAACAAATCAGTCATGTGTAAAAAAATACACACTTAATCAGCTTTTACCATGTGCTGGGTACCACACTTGGCCCTAGTTACAGAAAGAACAAAGATGCACAGTCTTGACCACTGAGGAGGTACAAGTTGAGCGGGTGAATGGTTAGGCTGGGGGCAAGGGAACCCTCCACCCTCTTTGAGATCATCCTAATAAGTGAAGTATACTTAAAGATGAAACTCATCTTTATCCAGTACCTGCTGTAAATATATATTTGTTGCTTTTTCATTGCTTCTGCATGATAGGGAACATTATTCCTAATTTACAGATAAGTAAATCAAGACCCAAAGAAAGCAAAGAACCAGTCTAAGTTCACATAGATGTTAGTGGAGGAGCTGAGATTATAGCCGGGGTGAACTGTCTAGCATGTTGATTCCTCATACTAGAGAGGGCAAACTGACCATTCCCCCACCTGCCTCTTAAAGGGCACAAGTCTTTCCCTTCAAAAGCCAGAAACAAAGCTCTGGATTCCAATGGATTGATGTGTGCATGGAAACAAGATCATGAACAGCATCTCTGTGATGGAAGATGTAACCACAGGTCGTGGTAACCAAGAGCCTCAAGCCAGGGCTCATCAAACTATCAATCAAACAGCTATTACCAATCAAATTTTCTGAGAAAGGTTGCTTCAGCCAAATACTTATGTGGTGGCATTTGCTTACCACAGGCAGCCAGGGTTTTCTAAGAGCCTAAAGACCTA